TCACAAAGAAGGTCTAATACTTAGGAATATTGTTAACTTAATAAAGGAAGACAATTATATAAAACTGTTCCAACAAATAAAGAAAGATCTGGAATCTTGGGGGAAACTACAATTATCTTTATTAGGAAGAATTGCTACAATTAAAATGAATATCTTATCTAAATTACTTTATTTATTTCAAACAATCCCCATAAAATTAGACAAAAAGTTTTTTTTTATAGAATTAAATAGAATAACCACAAAATTTGTATGGGCAGGCAAAAAAGCATGAATAAAGCTAATAGCGTTACAAATAGTAGAAGTAGAGGTGGCTTCAGACTTCCAGATTGGGAACTTTATTATAAGGCAGCTGCATTGATATGGATTAGGGAGTGGGTGAATTTAAATAATAAAATAATTTTAACTTTGGAAAGAAATGACCTGCAGATGGTGTGGCATGCCTTCTTGTGGGATAGAAGAAATATAAAACATTCATATTTTTATAGACACAAAATGAGGGATTCATTGATACAGATTTAGGAAAAGATTAGGAAAAAACGCTATATGAAAATAGCCGGCTGGCTATCCACATGGAGACAATGATCCACCCCAATACATTAGATGTAGGTAAAATGGCTAGGTATAATGAACTACTAGATAACCATGTGGAAATTAAAAACTAACCAGGAGCTGAAAGATCAAGGAATATTTACAGATTGGTGGCCATACCTGCATCTCTAAATGAGATATTAAAAGGACGCAGAAGAATATGGATTTGATAATGAGCCACAACAACTAGATAAAATTTTGGTAGGTCCGGAGGAGAAATTAATAACAAGAATATATAACTACTTGCTAAGATTCGAATTGGAAGAGGAAGTAGTTAAAGGGCCCATGATAGCATAGGCCAAAATTTTTGGACACAATATAGAATTAGAAGATTGGGAAAGAATTTGGAGCAGGAATTACAAAATAACAAGATCTGCGGCATATAAGGAGAATCAATATAAGATGTTTTATCGTTGGCATTTGGCTCCAATGAGATTGGCAAAAATATACCCTAATTTGAAACCAAATTGTTGGAAATGTGGACAGAGGCATGGTACCTTCTTCCATATGTGGTGGCTTTGCCCTGAAGCTAACAAATATTGGATTAAAATTCAGAACTAAAAGAAATAATGAACTGTCAAATAGAGTTTAAACCTGAACTGTTCCTTTTAGGGATAATTAAGGGGAAATACAGTAAGGAGATCAAATATATGATTTTACACATATCAACAACCACGAAGATTGCATATGCACAAGGTTGGAAGAGAGATAATATACCTCCAGAAAGATTAGTAATTCAAAAGATATTAGAATGTGCTGAAATGGACAAACTCACTCTAGAATTAAAAGGCAAAGAAGAGCCACGTGGTGTGGAATAAATGGTATGAATGGGTAAATAGTAGGAATAAGAATAGTAGAGATAAGAAAAATGTATAGAAATGTATATAAATGAATAGAAATGTATAGAGATCTGTATTTGTAACAATGATGCCACAGTACTTGAAGATGTGATTGAGATATGTAAAGGTGAAAAAAGCACAATAAACATATTTTAAACAAATAAAGTTCCTCTGGTTGAGAAATATGGACTAGACTGATGTAGAATTTAAATATGGATGGGGGAGGGATGAGGGGAAGAAATCAGAGAATGCAGATGCAAGCTCCAAAGGTCAGTTTAAAATACATTATCAGTTAACAACTGTAATATGTTATTTCAACATCGGAAGAATCTGAAGAAGTCCTCTGGTATCTAAATGTGAATTGCCTTCTATATTTGAAATAAGCTTGAATTAGAACTCTTACCCTCAACTCTGAAGACAGAGACAAATAAACTTTGTCTTCTCTTCACCAGTGGCCAAAGTTTAGTGAAATTACCTATGACTAGCATTAAGCATAGTGTGGAAATGCTTTAATCCGGATCCACTTACCACTAAGGAAGGAAGGCAACCTTCTCAGGCAACAGATTTGGGGACAAATGAAAAGGCAGCAAACAATTAATTTACTCTGCTACCATGTGCAATTAATATTATTTAACTGACCATTGGATACAAAATTATATCTTAAAAATGGTGGGGAGGGGACAATGAAAAGTGTGCAAATAATGTATCAGCAGTAGATCATGGCGAGTGGTGTCTATATCTTTCTATCTCGTCCAAGTCAAGCCCCTGCCATCAATATAAAGCTCAATATTGGCACACATGCAGCTATTTCTCGTGCATAGGGGAAATTGCAGTAATGCTGTTATAACACAAATGTACACACACATATCTGCTGTGGATTGAAGAGACCTTGCATTCTTTGGGCATTTTAAACCTAAAAAGTAGCAGTGGCCAGCTCTTCATAAGTTGGTATGGATCAGTGCTACTGACCTCAATTATTATTTTAAGTATGGAAATAACACAAGAAAAAGATGCTGCTAACTGATGTCAATGTGACCCATTAATTTCTCCACTATGCCAAACACTGATGTCAAGTTTGGCAATGCTAGAACACTTTTTGCACATTATGGTGTAGGGCTCATTATTTGTGTAAAGAGATTGTATTTGTTGGTGAATGCCATATATATAGATACAGATTAACAGAGTTGGAAGGGATCTTGTAGGTCGTCTAGTCCAACCCCCTCCCCAAGCAGACCCTACACCAGGGCGGTCAAACTCATGGTCCATGGGCCGAATGCGTCACATGCTGGCCACACCCACACCCAATTTAGCAAAGGGGGGGGGAAATGTCCTGATATGTGATGCCGCCGTGACGACGTGAGTTTGACACCCTTGCCCTACACCATTTGACAGGTGACAGTCCAGTCTCTTCTTGAAAGCTTCCAGTGATGAATCTGCAACAATTTCTGAAGGCAAGCTTTCCATTGGTTGATTGCTCTGACTATCAAAAAAAATCTCCTTATTTCCAGGTTGAATCTCTCCTTGATCAGTTTCCATCCATTATTCCTTGTCTGGCCTTCGGGTGCTTCAGAAAATGGCTTGACCCCTTCCTCTCTGTGGCAGCCCCTCAAATATTGGAACACTGCTATCATGTCTCCCCTGGTCCTTCTCTTCATTAGACTAGCCATGCCCAGTTCCTGCAACCATTCTTCATATGTTTTAGTCTCCAGACCCTTAATCATCCTGGTTGCTCTTCTCTGTACTTTCTTTAGAATCACTCTTTTTAGAATGGAATACATTAAGTCTGCTTAAAGCTATGTTTCAAACCCTGTTTTAATGTCAAAGCTAATCATATCCTATTTTAAGCATTGATGAAACCCCTGAAAAGAAACTGGGATTATCTAGATATTAGACTGAAGCTTGCAATGCAAAAAGTCTTGTAATGTACTTCAGGTCAGAAATCCCATTAGTTTAAAAATGTACCTATTTCATTTAAAATAAAACACACCTGATAATTTAATGTCGCTTTCTTACAATTTAAATATAGCCTCAAAAGGCCATCCTGAGGAATTATTCATTTTTCCTTGAACAGATTGAATAGTGCATAAATTTAACTAAGTTAAAAAAACAAAAACAAATCAGGATTGGTTAATTTGTTACATAGTCTTATCCTTATTAAAGCTAAAAACATCTGGACAATCCTTTTGTAAAGAAATGGAGAAATTCAACAATAAGGTACATACTTTAAAGTTGCATTTGTAAAGGGAAAAAAGATGTTCCAGTCAATTCACATACAAGCTTTCCCAATATGGTATTCTGCAGTTATATTGGCATTTTGGCCAGCCAGCACATCTTATGCTGACTCGGGATGAGATGAGTTGTCCAGGACATCTGGAGGGCACAAGTTGAGGAAGGCTGATCTATGTCATTTTTTTAGCCTAGCTTATATGATATGATTAGCCATCAGAATACCATATAAAGTCATGAAGTTTCTTTCTTCCTTAACAACACAAGTCTATTTAAACAATTAACTGTCATTCAGTTTACCATCACCATCTTCCTTGTTCCAATGTTTTGCTCGTGCTTTGGAGATTTCCTGCCTTTGTTCTTGAAAATGACAAACTTTTTTTTTCCTGCGGTGGAAAAAGTTACATGTGCGTCTTGGACAGAACTGAGCTGCTGACACATTAATCAAATTAATTATGTTACCCAAACACATGAGGATATAGTGACACTACCATGAAGCAAGGGCTGTGAAAAGCAGCAACCACAAAATTAGGATTCCTCCTTGAGCACAAATCTATGATTAAAATTTAACTATTTTTCAGACAGAGATCTATTGCAGCAGTTTATTGTATGATATGTGTTAAGTTTGAGGCATGGGTTAATGAACGGAGACCAGACTGTAAACCTTGAACTTCAGCTCTTTATTCTCAAGCATAACAGAGACAAAAAAACCCCGGCTAGCAGTCACTCTTTTATAGAGTAAGCTGCTATCCGGATAACCAATGGATAGTGTTGTAGTGTTTGAATCTTGGCGCGGCCCGCCAACAGCCAGTCAGATTGCTCGGAATGAACCAATCATAACTTGCCATTATATGGGCCAATAGGAAGTGCAGGATTACGATCCTGCTAGGCAAATGAATCTTTATTAATTACATTTCTTTAGTTCACAACACCCCTCCCCCCTGGGTTCCGTTTGACGGCCGTGGTGACGTAATCACGCAGGTATGCAGGTCGTTTTACCTGCCTATTTGATTTTCGCTGTTCCACCAGCTTTTGTTTAAAGTTCGGTTCCGGTGGAACGCAAGGCTCGTCTTCACACGGGGTTGATTCCGCGGTGCTGTTTTCGGCACTATCAGGGTCCCTTAAGTCCATTCCTGGATCAGGCGGGCATGTTTCCACTACGGTGTTCCTCTGCGGGGAGGATGCTCCCGATCCCGGACCTTCTTCAGGTGGCGCGAGTACTCGGTTTAGCGGCCGTCTGTCCTCGATTGCGTCATCGTCTATACGGCCTTCGTCCCCCTCGGTATTCCCTCCCCCTTGAGTTTGGAAGTCCGGGGGGTCACGGATATTGGGTTGTAAACGAGAGCGAAGTTGATCTATGTGGCGTTTCCAGATCTTGCCGTCTGTCGTCTTAAGGCGGTACGATCTAGGGCCAGTGAGGTAGACTACGGTGGCTGGGACCCACAGCGGTTCGCCGGAAAGGTTTTTGGCATAGACCAGGTCGCCTACCTTGAATTGACGATACGTTCCGCTGGATCCACAAGGTTTCTCTGGTGAATAAGACGGGTGTAATCGGTCGAGGTGGGAGCGAAGCTTCCGCCCCATTAAAAGTTCGGCTGGGGTCTTGTTGGTGACACTGTGGGGGGTAATGTGTTGTAGTAAGAGTATTTTGTTCAATCTAGCGTCGATGTCCCCCGGATCCATTTTTTGTAGTGTCTTTTTAACAAATTGGACCATCCTTTCTGCTCTACCGTTTGCCGCAGGGTGAGCCGGCGAAGTCAAGGCATGGCAGATGCCCCAGTCCGCCAAGTATTGTTCGAAGGTGAGAGCAGTAAACTGGGGTCCGTTGTCGGAAACTAGAACGTCCGGGAAACCGTGTGTTGCAAATAATCTATCTAGTTTTTTAATAACGGAGTCAGTAGTCGTGCTTTTCATCTTGTGGATTTCGAGCCAGTTGGAGTAAGCATCCACGGTTAGGAGAAAAGTGTGTCCTTTAGTGGGTCCCGCGAAATCAATGTGGATGCGGGACCACGGGCCTCGAGGAGTTTCCCATTCGTTGGGAATTGCTCTCGGTGGGGCGTTGCTGACTTCTTGGCAGTTTCTACACGTGGTTACCCAGGCTTCAATTTGTTTATCGATGCCTGGCCACCACGCGTAGCTTCGAGTGAGAGCCTTCATGCGGACGATGCCCGGATGTCCTTCGTGCAGGGTTTGCAACACGAGTCGCTGTAGTCTCTCTGGTACGACGACTCTATCTCCCCATAGGATGCAGCCCTTCTGGGAAAATAGTTCCGTTGGCCGGTGTTTGAACGGTGCAAAAATGGCGGGGGTTTCTTCGACTGGCCACCCGCGTTCGACCCAACTGACAACTCTTGCGAGGATAGCGTCCCGTTTTGTGTCGGCGGCGATATCCCTTGCCGTTAGTGGCGGCGAGTTGAGGGTTTCAATTTGCAACGTAGTGAGGGTCGGAGCTGGGTCGCTGACGGTTTCCGGAAGTGGGGAACGGCTCAAAGCGTCAGCGTGGGGAATGGCTTTCCCCGGGCGATGCTGCAGTACGTAGTTGTAGGCTGCTAGGAATTCTGACCAGCGAGTCATTCTAGGCGACAATATATGCGGCGTTGGTTTATCACCTGCTAAAATGCCAAGTAAAGGCTTGTGGTCTGTAACTAGAGTAAAGGGCCGCCCATAAACATATTCGTGGAACCGCTTTACGGCCGATACAATAGCAAGAGCCTCTTTGTCAAGTTGGCTATAGTTTCGTTCAGCCTTTGATAATGTGCGGGAAAAGTACGCAATAGGAGCCTCATTCCCGTTTGGTAACACGTGGCTCAAAATGGCTCCAACCCCAAACGGTGATGCGTCGGATGTAATATTTATTGGCAAAGTCTCGTTGTACTGCATTAGAACAGCATCGGATGTTAATAAGTCTTTCACTTTTTGAAAAGAGCGTTCTTCTCGATGTCCCCAGACCCAGGTGGCTTTCTTGTCGAGAAGTCTATGTAGGGGCTCAGCTACGGTCGCCTTCTGGGACAAGAATATGTTGTAAAAGTTAATAAGTCCCAGGAAAGCCTGGAGATCAGTCTTATTTTTAGGTCTTGGGGCGTTCTTGATTGCCCTGAGTTTGTTTTCAGTAGGGTGAATACCGTGTTTATCGAGGAGGTATCCGAGAAACTCTACCCTTTCTGTGCATAGTTGACATTTATTTCTTTTAACCTTGAGACCGGCGTCCATAAATCTATGTAAAACCAATCTGAGATGCCTTTCAAGCTCTTCTCTATTTGGGGCAGCAATTAATACGTCATCGAAGTACGGTACAACCCCTTTTATTCCCTGTAAAAGTCTCTCCATTAGACTCTGAAATATACCGGGGGCTACACTCACTCTGAACTGGAGTCTGTTGCATTTAAAGGCACCTCGGTGTGTAACGATAGTCTGTGCCTTTGCGGTTTCCACATCAACGGGTAGTTGTTGATACGCTTGCACTAAGTCTAACTTTGCAAAGATCTTCCCGCCGCCCAGGGAATGGAGGAGATGTTGAACCACCGGCACCGGATAAGCGCTCTGTTGGAGTGCGTGGTTCAGAGTGGCGCGGTAGTCTCCACAAATTCTGATTGACCCATCCGGTTTGATGGGGGTTACGATTGGGGTTTCCCAATGGGCATGGTCAATAGGCTCCAACACCCCTTGGGCTATTAACTTATCAAGTTGCTCGTCAATCTTGGGTTTAAGGGCGAACGGCACCCGACGAGGCTTAAGGCGGATAGGGGCTACTTCTGGATTGAGGCTAAATGATATAGGGGTTCCCTTGTACTTGCCTAATTTGTCCGAAAACACGTCGTGGAATTCCTGGACGATGCTCTCTTCCCAATCGTCGCTTCCGGCCTGGTGAATGCCGGCCACCTCGATCCCGAGTGGGGCGAACCATTGTAGGCCTAGTAAACTGGGCCGATCACCATCGACGACAGTTAATGGGAGTGACACGGCACGATTTTTAAAAGATACTTGGACTTGACTCACTCCGACGACTGGGATCGTGTTCCCTTGGTAATCCCTGAGGACGATTTTCTGTGTCCTGAGGTCTTGACGACGGATGGCAGGGATCAGCTGTTTAAGGGTCTTCCAGGAAACCATCGAGAGGGACGATCCAGAGTCGACTTCCATCAGGCAAGGTCGGTTTTCGATGGCCACTTCCACTCGGATCTTTTGTTTGTCTAATGACGAAGCGTGGCCGATAATAATAGTCTGGTGTGTCTCTTCTCGTCTTGCTGGAAGAGCGGATGTTTTGCCGCTGTAGGCATGGTTGTTCCATTGGTTATTCAAACGTTCCCGATTTGCAGGGAGGTTCCCTGTGGTTTGGCGGAGGTTGTTCTCCTTTCTGTTTGTGTTGGATTCCCTCTTACTCCTGCAGACCCGTGCGATGTGGCCTCTTTTCCCACAGGAACGGCAGATTGCGTCGAGGAATTTGCAACCGGATCGCGGGTGGTTTCCCCCACAGCCCGCACATAGGCGCTGAAATTTTAGAGTTTGTTGATCTCGTTCGGCCCGAAGTCTGTTAACCTCTTCTTCATCACTCTCGGACTGGAACTCGAGGTCCTCATGGTGCGCTGTTGCTGAGTGTCTTTCTAGTTGAGGCGAGGCTTCACAGGCGAATTGACGGAGCGGTGCGTTGGTGCGGCGCATTCGAGCAGCCGACTTCTTGGTTGCCTCTGCTGCAGTAGCGTCTGCAATGGCATCTGCAAGATCGATGTCCCCTTTTGCCATGATCTTGCTCTGTACTGTGTGGTCATCTAATCTCAGAACTATGCGGTCTCGCATAGCTTCTTCTAGGTCTGAAAAACCACAGAGGCCTCCCAGGTTTCTTAGGTCAGCGATGAAGTCTGCAATACTTTCACCCTTCCGCTGATCCCGTTGATAAAATTCGTGTCTCCGGACCAACGTTGGTACGGCAGGGACATAGTGAGCCCGTAGAATAGGTTCGAGGTTGTCCCAATCCATTGATTTCACCTCAGCCGGTTTCGCGAGCGCTTTCACCATCCTAAACAAGGCTGGTCCACAATGGGTCAAGAACACCACCCGCTTCTTTCCGGGTGTGGCGTCTTTCAAATTGTTGGTTTCTAGAAACATTTGAAACCGATCCATATACGACTCCCAGTCTTCTTTTTCCGGGTCAAAAGGAGCGGGTGGTATAGTGCCACCTGACATCCTGTCGATGTAGATGCGCTCTTAGCCACGTGCTTCAGTTGGTGCTCTGTAGGATTTAGTCAGCTCTTTTGTCTCCACATCCCATCCTCGTCGCCAGTGTTAAGTTTGAGGCATGGGTTAATGAACAGAGACCAGACTGTAAACCTTGAACTTCAGCTCTTTATTCTCAAGCATAACAGAGACAAAAAACCCCCGGCTAGCAGTCACTCTTTTATAGAGTAAACTGCTATCCGGATAACCAATGGATAGTGTTGTAGCATTTGAATCTTGGCGCGGCCCGCCAACAGCCAGTCAGATTGCTCGGAATGAACCAATCATAACTTGCCATTATATGGGCCAATAGGAAGTGCAGGATTACGATCCTGCTAGGCAAATGAATCTTTATTAATTACATTTCTTTAGTTCACAACAATATGGTATCTAGGTCAGTTACTGGATTGCATAAAAAGTAGCATACTTCGAATACAAATAGTTAGCTGTGTTTAAAGGCTATTTTTTTTAGCAGTTCCAACCATATTCATTGTTACCCACATAAGTAGTGTATGTGGGGATGGCAATAGTGCTGCTTTTAGCAGAGACCAGCATGCTTCATTGGACAACATTATTCTGTCTAAAACTCAGGTTCCCTGGAGAATTTGATAAACCTTTACTCGGGATCTGTATCTTGAGTGTGTGATGGTATGTTGCATCAACCTCCTAGATCACAGGTTTCAAATTTGCCGCATCACGTTGTCATCACATGACATTTCATGACGTGATGTGGGGTGGATGTGGCCTGCACATGATGCATCCAGCCCATAGGCTGCCAGTTTGACACCCCTGTCCTAGATGATGGATGTGACAAAAAAAGTTGCCTACAAGCAGTACTAGATTAAAAACTCTGGCTTGCATTGGAAAAAAATGGGCATGCTTGCATTAAAAACACGGCTTAGGTGTACTTATGGCATAGTGTCTCAAATGTCCATCAATAATAATGTTTGTGTGTGTGTATACACATATACATATACACACATATTAAATATTTACATATACATATGTAATCATTTATTTTTTATATATACAGAATATACATGTGTGTATATTTTTTTTTATTTTACACACACACACACACACACACATTCACAAAGGCATATATAATAACCCTGCTTCCTATTTTAGCATTATTTAAGATTGGCATAAACTGCATGTTATTAAAAAATCAGTATGTACTGAAAGGGACCTGGAACATACAGTACAAACTGTTCAGACTTGGTACAATGAGTAGATATCGTCCGGGGGAGGCGGTCCCACAAAAAACAACTTGACCCCATGCCATTCAGGCTTTTAAAGGTGATAATCAACACTTCGAATTGCATTTGGAAATCAAATTTGGTTATCACTTTTAGAGGAGTGAATGGCATGCGGCCAGGTTGTTTTTCGTGGGACCACCTCTCCTGGAGGATATCTGCCCATTGGACCAAGTCTGAAGGGTCTGCATGTGTATACCTGGAATATGGGGATGTGGTGTCTCAGTGGCTTAATGATGCTGGAATTGCCAGCCAGAAATGGTCTGCACTCCAGCAGTTCAAGCCCAGCTCCCATCTCTCGATCCCCAGCTCCTGCCCACCCAGCAGTCTGAAAGCATGCAATATTGCGAGTAGATAAATGGGCATCACATTGGTGGGAAAAACTAGCTGCGTTTATATGTGTGGGCAGTGGAAGTCACAGCACTGTACCTGTCTGGATGTGAGGTATTATAACACAAGGTGAGGCGAAACTGGCAAAGGAGCCTGGAAGAGTCAGGAACCTAGTCTAAAGCTAGTTCTCCCCCTACAGTGTACCAAGGATAGGCATACAAGTACTGAGTAGAATGAACTAGCAGTCTAAACTGTCAGGACTGCATTGTGTGCTTAGTATATGTAGATTTTCCTGACATTGTATGCCAAAAACTAAATAAAACATCTGGAAAGAAACTGAAAGCCAATGAAGATCACATATCAGGAGTATAATATGGGCAAACCATGAAGTCAGAACTGTGCTCTGTGATCATTTGTAATTTCCTGATTTAGTTCAAGACCAGTCCCATGTAGAATGTACTGCAGTAATCCAACCAGGAAGTGACCAGAGTGTGAATCCTCCCACTGTTTAGAAAATTAATGAAAAACTGGCTATTTAGGCAGGTATTTGACTAGGACAAGGTGGAGAATATAAACCTAAGGGATGTATGTTGTCATTTTTATAGTGATTTTGTACATATTGTATAGTTTATTGTATTCTGCTTTTGTAAGCTACTTACTTTTTTAATGAAGCAATACGAAAGAAGTATAAACAAAGCAAAACAAAATACTAGAAGCATGACTGCTTTGCTATGAATTTTCACTTCAAAAGGGCATTTCAATCAAAACTCCCAATTAGGCAAAATGCCACTTCAAAAATGAGGTGGCTCTCTGTAATTGCTGATCTTGCTAAACATTTGCCATTTAAAATTAATATCTGAGTTCTGACTTTTCCATGCTTAATTCTGCTATCTAATATATTTCCATTATAATTATTTTTAACAGTTATCTGCAGGGGTGGGATTTAAAATTTTTAACAACCGGCTCTGTGGGTGTAGCTTAGGTGGTGGGTGTGGCTTGGTGGTCATGTGACTGGGTGGACATGGCTTGGTGGTCATGTTACTGGCTGGGCGTGTCCAACTCAACATCACTCACATCGAGGCACGCAACTCCTCTCCTGGCCTCTCGTGACTGTGGGGATGCTGCAACAGTCGTAAGTGTGAAAAATGGTCATAAGTTACTTTTTTCAATGGTCACGCCACACAAGCAAAGTACCTGCAAAAGAGGGGGAAAAAAACTCCAGAGAAGTTCCAGAGACAGGAAGTCTAGTCCTGCCAAGAATGTAATAAGGGTTAACGGAGGGGCAATTTCTGTAAGCAACACCAGAATGTTTCCTTCCTGCCTTCCTTACAGGATTAGGCCAGTCATTTCTTATAACAACCGGTTCTCCGAACTGCTTAGAATTTTAACAACCGGTTCTAGTGAATAGGTGTGAACTGGTAGAATCCTACCCCTGGGGAAGCATTGCAAGAGAGATATTACAGGGTCAATATTTAGTGCTGGTGTGGATTCATGCTAAATCTGGATCCAACTCTGTAATATCAGAGAATGTATTATTAAATTATACTTATTGTTAAACGTAAACTGTCAAACTAGCTTTTTCAATGCATGTGATCTTCTCTTTCATGTTTTTAAAGAAAAAAGGAACTCATCTTTCCTTATAATTCCAGCTATGAAATACATAAACAAAAAACTTAGTTTACTGACTTTCAGCCTCTTAGATAGCATAGGAGAGAATTGGAAAAAAAGTAGAATTAAAGCACCAACTTTAATCCGAGAAATGTTTAATGTTTGTATGAAATCTTGTTTATAGAACTGTTCTGTGCAGTATCTGTCAGACTTTCAAAAATAGAAGTCTGACAGAAAGAATGCTTAAATACTCATCATATACATACGTAAAACAGAAATGGTTGGAAGCTAATGTGACAGCAAACTTTGGACAGATTTTAATAGATTTTGATGCCTCAGTATTGCTATATGGAAAAATGGGACTTTTCATTTACGATAGCAAAAAAACAGCTCTTCATTGCCATATGTTTAAATATTCCCCAAACATACATATACATCCATTTTACAAGCAGTAATAGATGTCCAGCATTCCCTTAAATTCCATCTCCATTATTCAGAGAATTGTTAAAATAAACAAAATGTCTATTTTCAAGAATTTTATAAGCATATGCTGCTGCTACAATGTGATCCTACCACAAATTTATGAAGAGGAAATTCCTACAGCACAACTTTCACCCCAGCGTACTTTATCTTTCTTAGTGTCAGATTGTGGCCATAGCTATAAACAAGCATTCTACCCTGAATTTTAATGGAATGAGAGGTAAGAAAAAAGCAGTTGTCGGGCTATTTTTATAGTAAATAATTTTTGCTTTTCACCAGCTTAAGCTACCTTAG